GGACCAGGACTACTGGGTTTGAGGATGGAGAGAAGGAAGTGGAGAATGGGGAGGTGCCAGGTCTCCTAGATCTGGGGGTAGGGGATGGAGGAGGGAGGAAGGTCGGGAGTGGAGCAGAAAAGGACTCCCGTATCTGAGGGTGGAAGAATTGGGGCCTGGTTTCCGAAAAAAAGAAATCCAGGGTGGCAGGTCCTTGGCTTTCCCAAGATCTCCTTACCGGGACCCGCACAACTGGAGTGGGTTTGAGATGGGTGATATGGGGCTGCTTGCATGTCTGCAGGTGTGTGTGTGTGTGTGTGTGTGTAAGAGAGGATCTAGGGCGGCAGCTTCAACACCCCCATTCCTCCCAGGGGAAATTCATTCGCATCAACTTTGACGTTGCTGGCTACATCGTGGGCGCCAACATCGAGACCTGTATCCTCGCGCAGCCCCGAGGGTGCCTGGGAGGAGCAGGGTAGGTGCTGAGGTGGGCGGCCCCTGGGATCCCACACGCACGGGACACAGTCACCTGGCTACTCAGATAGGGTCACATAGTCCCACCACCCCAGGACAGCATGGACGCGGCTACTCCAGTGGGGACACAGCGATTTCCACTGCTTGTCTAAAAACAGCTTCTCTACAGAACCAAACTATTTGGTGTCACATGGTGACCCTACAGATGTCACAACGGAACTGTGGTCTTTATGAGCTAGTTTTTCGTCAGTAGTTTGCCAGGCGTTTTTTCGAAGGCTCCTCAGAGGGAAAACGTCTCCAGACTTTTCAGCTGACAGCTTTGCATCACCGAGTTCTCCATCATGACAGGGTGTTAGTTTCAAGCCCATTTTACAGATAATGAAACAAAGGCACTACGCAGCGCAGCTTGCCTGACAAGCCCAAGGCTACTTGCTAAAGGCAAAGCCACTGGGCACCGAATGAAACCCACTGCATCTTGAGAAGGAAAAGGGGATGGTACAGACTGAGCTGGGGAGTTGTGTGTGTGTGGGGGGGGGGACTCCTGCCCTCTTTGGCACCTTAACTGGCCTCCACCCAGACCTGCTGGAGAAGTCACGCGCCATCCGCCAGGCCAAGGACGAGTGCAGCTTCCACATCTTCTACCAGCTGCTAGGGGGCGCTGAAGAGCAACTCAAGGGTGAGTGTCCGCGCGTCCTTCCCGGCTCACGCGGGTGGGAGGCACCTGGGGTGTCCTGGGTGGGAGGCACATAGGGTTCCCTATGTGCCTGGTCCCTGGGAGAGGAAGGAGATGACAGTCACCGGTCTTTGTTAGGTGACTCTTGGACGCAGTCACGCGCACCCCTGGGGCTCCTTCTGTGCCGCTAGCCCTGCGCCCCCATGTGTGCGTGCGCACACTTGCTGAGTTCTACTTTGTGCGTTTGGCGAGTCCCAGTGCGCACTGGGCTCTGTCACCCGCAGCCTGTGCTGCTCCACAGACGGCCACCCTCTGGCTCCAGCCCTCTCTCCTCTCCTGCCTCCTCCAGCCTTCTGCCTCTCTCACACTGGCTCTGGTGGCCACGTGGCTCCTGACTTCTGCCCATGCGGGCCTGGGGCACCTGCTTGCACTGACTTCTGAAACTCGGGGGCTCCCGTCCGCGCCGCCTCGGGGCGTCCACCTCCGCCGGCTGGTGCTGCACCCTGACTCCGGCTTAGCTGCGCCCGCTGCCTCCTCGCCTCTTCCTATTCTGGTTTGTGTCACCTCTCCCGGCTGCCTGCCTCCTGCCCCTGCGCTCTGCTCCACTCCACTTCACCCCACTCGGCCTTTCCCTCTCGGTGGCTCGTGCCTGGGGTTTCTGTCTCTGCCTCACTCGGGTGGCCAGTCGCCTCTGGCTGCAGAATCGCTCGAGGCTCTTGTCCCCACCGCCCCAAAGCTCTTTTTCATTCCAACTCTATCTAGCCCATAACTTGTGCCACGTGGTCGCCTCGTGGCTCCTGCAGTCACATGACTTCTCACCACATCCCTGTGGCTTCTGAAGCCATGTGCTGTCCCACTATTGCCCCTGCTACTCCATAGCTTCTGCAGACTTGGGCCTCCTGCTGCCAACATTGCTTCTGCCAGCTGGGAATGGTAATCACCTGTCTGCTCCGGGCACTTCCGTGATGGAAAAGGAAAGAGGAATGATATAATAATTCCCCCAACACATGACATAAAGATCCTCACCATTAGACTGAAGAAGAGTCTGAGGGTCCTAGTGGCAAGTGGCTTAGCCTGACGGCGCACTCAGGTTGAAGAAGCCACGAAGCTAAGTTAAGCCCGCTGCTTGACCCGGGCTTACCCCTTCCACCCCGCAGCCGACCTCCTGCTGGAGCCGTGTTCCCACTACCGCTTCCTGACCAACGGGCCGTCATCGTCCCCCGGCCAGGAGCGGGAGCTCTTCCATGAGACGCTGGAGTCCCTGCGGGTCCTGGGCTTCAGCCACGAGGAAATCACCTGTGAGTAACCTGGGCCCCACAGCACCCCCTAGTGGAGGGGGAGGAATGCATCACACCTGACGGGCAGGTTGGGGAAAAGAAACCCAACACAATATAACAGCTGTGGGGTCCAGGCGCCTTAAGAATCTGCGAGTTCGGCTCCAGACCGCCCACGATTGAGCAGACGCAGGAAAGTTAGGTGGACACCAGACTGCAGGCCACACGCAGTGTGTGATAGCACGGAGGGAAGGGCTTGCTATGTGGCGAGAATTCCAGAGTGGGACACGGAGAGACACAGAGGGAACACGTTGCTGCTGGGAAAAGGGAATCAAAAGGTACACTTGACGCTCGGTTACTTTTAAGAAATGAAATATCAGCTCTGTTTCCCTGTGTATAGCTGGACACCCCTCCTTGCCTTCCCCTTTCTCTCCCCCCTTCTCTCCCTTTCCCTCCCTCCCCTTTCTCTCTCTGTTTGCATACTCCCCTCCTTCCCTTCTCCTCTCTCTCCTTCCCTCCCCTCTCTCTCTCAGTTTGCATACCCCCTCCTTCCTTTCCCTTCTCTCTCTCCTTTCCTCTCTCTCTCTCTCCCACCCTCCATCCCTCTCTCCCTCTCTCTCTCTTTCTCTCTGTTTGCATACCCCCTTCTTCCCTTCCCCTCTCTCTCCTTCCCTTGCCCTCTCTCTCCTTCCCTTCCCCCCTCTGTTTGCATACTCCCCCTCCTCCCCTCTCTCTCTCTCTGTTTGAATACCCCCCTCCTTCCCTTCCCCTCTCTCTTTCTCTCTCTCTCTCCTTCCCTTCCCCCCTCTCTGTTTGCATACCCCCTTCTTCCCCCTCTCTGTTTGCATACCCCCTCTCTCTGCGTCTTGCCCCCCCCCCCGTCCCTTCATATCTAGAGTCTTAGGAGGGAGTTGTCCTATTCAATCCGAGGCAGTTTAGATCCACTGGCAGCACTTCAGGAAAGAGACAGGCAACCACCTCCTTCCTGGACAGTTTCCAGCCTCTGGCAGGTCGTCTATGAGTCAGTTCTGACTTGCCGGCAATGAGTTTGGCTTTTGATATCTATATGCATTGTCTTCGCAGTCACTTGCTAGGTGTCAGAGAGCTGGGCAATGACCAGGGAGGATAGAAAGAGAATTGATGCCTTTGAGCTGTGGTTCTGGAGAAGAGTATTGAAGGTACCATGGACTGCTAGGAAAACAAGCAGGTTTATCCTAAAGAGGGTTAAACCAGGCTGCTCCTTGGAGGCAAAGATTCTGAGGCTCTGTCTGACATACTTTGGACATGTTGCAAGGAGCGACCGGTCCTTGGAGAGGGACATCATGCTTGGGAGCGTGGAGGGACAGTGCAGGAGAGAAAGACGCTTGGTGAAACTAATTGATTCAGCGTCTGGGATAATGACAGTAGATGGGGACGGAGACAATAAGGTTGGCACCGGACAGAGCAGGGTTCAGGGCTGTTGTACACTGAGTCGCAAGTGACTCAATGGCACGTAACAACAGCAAACAATGATGCTGTGGTATTTTTCATTTGCTTCGTCTGCATGTGGAAGTTGGACAGTGAATAAGGCAGACCAAGGGACGCATGGATCAGTGCCTTTCAGTTGTGGTTGTGGTGTCGGAGAGCAGTATCGAGGATCCCCTGGACTGCCCACAGAGCCAACGAGTCTCCCTGGGAGGAAGTGCAACCAGGGTGCCCCTTAGAGACAAGGACGTTGACATTCCGCCTGACACACTTTGAGTATGTTGTCAGGCAGGGGCCAGTCCTTAGAAAAAGCCCTCGTGCCGGGAAGGGCAGAACGCGAGGAAGATCCTCGACGAGGTGGATTGACGTGGTGGGTTGGAGCTTGAGGCAGATGGGGAGGCTGGCATGGGATCGAGCAAGGTTCTGATCTCTTGTTCGTAGGATTACTGTAACACTTACGGGACTCACTGGCGCCTAACTCTCTCTGTGTGTGTGTGTGTGTGTGTGTGTGTGTGTGTGTGTGTGTGTGTGTGTCTTATCAAAGAATAGTCTGTGGGAGGTGCCCTGCTCCCCAAAGACAGAGTCTCTCTAGCCGTTCGACTCGACCAGCGCCTCCATGCGGGAAGGATGGGCATTGTCCTTCCATGTTATTTACAGCCTCTGAGAACCTGCTGGAGGGGTCCGCTGTGAGTCAGTCTTGACACTGTGACCATGAGTAATAGATGTATATGTTCCTAAATGTCACTGGGTGACACGGACAATGTACAATGTACACCCACCTTCCAACTGAAAGGTTGGTGGGCCGTGCGAACCCACCCTGCACGGGTACGGAGGAAAAGCCTGGCAGTCGCCTTCTGGAAAGCCCATCGGCAAGAAAACCACCGTTCGATGCCTGGACACACCCAGGGTTGCCACAAGGCCGGGGGGCCGCCTCAGCAGAAGCTGACAGCACCCACAAGCGGTCCCTTAGCTTTTCTTCATAGCCGCGTGACATTGCACCCTTTCCTTTTGGTGAGTGAGCTTGGACAGACTCTTAAGTTGTCTGCAGGGCTGAGCCGCAGGGTTGAGCCGGGGGCCAGCTCTGCAGGAGGTGACCCGCAGGGTGAGTAGGGAGGGCTGGAGCCGGTCCAGGGAACACCAGCCTGGGCCGCTCTGCTGACAGCCTGCTGCCTTGGAGATATTCACACAGGAGCTCAGGCCTCCCCACTGCTACCCTGGCTGGTCCCCCATCCCCAGAGTTGTGCAACTCCCCGCCATTGATATCTCCAACGCTCCACAGTGGACAGCCGGCTGCAGATTCGCAAAGTCAGAAGGCCACGGCCTGAGAGGACGAGGCCTCCTTTATGGCCACAGGGTACCTCCTGGCCCACTCAAGCTTCCTGGCACCACAGATCACAGATCCTTGCCTGTGGCGTCTCCGTGTGTTTCAGGGAAAGATCTCACTGCGTGGCTGGAGTTTAGGAAGGAGACTGCAAGATCTTTCTCCTGAGATGTAGATGCCTGTATTTGAATCTCCAAATTTTCAGTTAGAAGTAAAGTGTGCTAATTGTTGACACCATCCAGAGTCTCAAAATAGAACCAAAAAAACCCAGATCAAAATCAAAGTAAAGAAAGGAAACTATTTAACTTGGGGAGCTCTGGTGGCCTAGTGACACTGGAGTGGTCCTGCCAGCCCAGAGGTAGGCGGTTCGAATCCACAGCTGCTCCAAGGTGGAAAGATGGTCAGTCTCCTCCCATGTGATTTCAAGCCTCGGAAACTGCTCGGAGGGTCCGCTATGAGTCAGATCCCATTTGACAGCAATGAGCAAGAGAGAGGAATTTAACTTAATGCACAAGTCTGCTTCTTTCTGATTGGTTCCCACCCCCGGAGGTCCCACTTGGGCCAGAGCAGACCTGTGTTCCGTGGAGTTTTCAGTGTCTGATGTTCTGGAAGGACATTGTCAGGTCTTCCTTCTGAGGTGCTTCGGGGTGGACTCGACCCTCCCAGCGTTTGAGTTAGTGACTGAGCATATTAACTGATTGCACCACCTCAGAACTCCTGAGTTGTTGTTATGTGCTGTCGTGTTACCTGTAACCCATAGCCACCCTATGTCCAGTAGCTCTGATACCTGCCCTGTCCTGAGCCAGTCTCACTGATTCTGACACAACTCCCACTGCCCCAGTCACTGTGTCAATCCATCTCCTCTGGAGGCCTTCCTCTTCTCCTCTGTCTGTCCACCTTTCCGAGCATGATGTCCTTCTCCAAGGACTGGTCCCTCCTGGCCACATGCCCAAAATATGTGAGACAGAGCTTCAAAATCCTAGCCTCCAAGGAGAGACTTGGTTTCACCCTCTCCGAGACAGACCTATTTGTCTTCTTGGTGGTCCATAGTATGTTCAAGACTCTGCTCCAGCCCCACAATTCAAAGCATTAATTCTTCTTCTATCATCCTTAGTCATTGTCTAAGACTAAAGTGAACCTAATCCAGGCCATGGCCTTTACAATTACTTGCTATGCATCAGAGAGCTGGACAGTGAATAAGAACTCCTTAGAGCGGTGCTAATTTCCGGCTGCACCAATCGACTACCTGAAATGCCCATTTTTCAACATCCATACTAGCAATGGTGGTTATAGGGTTTTTGGTTTTGTCTTTTGCTGGTTGAGTATGTAGTAGTTGTGTGTATGTGTATTCTACTTACCCTTAGGGGTATGCAATGTGTCAAGCTGCTGACTAATATGTCAGAGGTTCGAATCCCCCAGCTGCCCTGCAGGAGAAGTATGAGGCAAGCTTCTTCCTGTAGAGATTTGCAGGCCCAGAGGGGCGACGAGGGGTCCCTGTGAGTCAGCTGCATGTGGTGGGTGTGGTTCTCAGGAGGTTTACAAGAAGCGATGGTGTTTATTGCTGACAAATGGTTCCAGCTCACAGAGACCCCACATGACAGAGTGGACCTGTCCCCTTGGCATCTCTACGGTGTAATCTGGTGTCTAAATCTCTCAGCTGCTGCCTGAAAGGTTGGTCTGAACCCAGCAGCCGCTTGGCAGGAAGAGGTTGTCTCTTTCTGGGAGATTTACAGGCGCGGAAGCCCTGGGGGGCAGCCCCGCTCTGTCCGGCAGGCTACTACACATCAGAACAGACTCGAAGGATATGGGATTGCCTTTAGCATTCGTGTCCTCACAGAAGCAGAACTGACTCTCTCTGGAGCTGAGGGGCAGACTTGGACCCTCAACCTTGCAGCTTACAGATGAGATGTATAACCACGGGGCCATGCCAGAGGCCGGACAGGGAGTGGCATCTGGTTATAGTTCATATGTCCTCCTTTTGATAATAAAGAGACGGGTACAGCGAGGTGGGCTGTCCTGCCCCAGGGTTCACCCCAGGTGAAGAGGCGGCAGTGGAACCCAGGCTGAACTTCACAAGCATCGTCCCCGGAGAGGGAGGTGGGTGTACTGGGTCACCCACAGGTCACCCAGAGCAGGGAGAGCCTTTGGGGCAAGTGGCGGTGGCAGTTCCACCCTCCTCCCACTCCTCGTCTCTGCCCGCCTGCCCTCAGTGCCGGAGATGCCCCGTGAGAGGTAGAGC